TAAGGTTGCGATACAATGTACAGCATTATGCAATGGTTCGACGACATCTTGTACCTGACTTTAAATAAAGCCATGAAAGGTTAACCTTCTCGACGAAATTCATAATTAATAAAGTATTATTGTGCAGTGAACTTCCACATACAGATTTATTATTTATATATTTATTTTCATCATCACCATACATTTGTAAAAATATTTTTATAAATTGTCGTCACAGAACTTGATCGAATACAGTCGTGTGCCTGTATACATTCACAAACGCCATGCGTTGCTCAACCAAGGGCTGGTTATTGGCCAATCAGCAAAAAAAGCTGTCCATGATTATAATATGAATAATTTCAGACAATTGGTCGTCGTTAGTTTAAGCTTGATGATGGTCAGCTAATCGGCTATGTTTGGCTGCACGTTACCTCTGTTCAAGGCCTTTCTTTCGGTGGCGTGATCAGGACTTCGGTTTCAAGCGAGGGTCGCTCAGACTCACTGCTGTTTCCTGCCACTTCGATCGTTTCCCAGTCATAAGGCTCAGACATCAGCCGCTCATCGTAGTGTTTCACCAGCTTAATAAAACAATTCGTGAGGAGGTCGTAGTCGGGAGTCGATTCGAATCTGAAAGCAAAAATGTTTACTCAACGTCAATGCAGAATTTTCCATTTCCGGTCACTTATTACTTGTTTACAGCTCACTGCCTTGCTTTGTTTACATGAATATGCAGTTTCTGACTGACCTTCAGTTGAGCAGTACACGTGAAAACGAAATCACAGATTTTACGAATACGATATAAGGACATCGATTCATGGTTCATTGTTGATGTTATAATTTGCTGTTTCAACTGATTTATGATTTATTTATTACATTTTATTTGACTAACTTTGATAATGCTGACTGTCTGACCATAAGCAAGTTCGAGAGACAAGAGGAATCCAATGATTAAAACGTACGGGTGAGGCGCCAGCAGCATTTATGCTCAACATAGGCGAAATAGGTGATAATCAATCTCCTATTTAAATGAAAGATAAATTTCGGAATCGATTTGTCCTGTGAAAATTCTAAATGTGAGGGAAATTTGAATTTGAAAAAATAACAACCATGCTAGAAACTACATAATGAAATACGATGGACACGGTTTTACGGAGGTTACGCTTACTTCAATGAACGCAGGTGTTTGACGATTTTCCGAAATTGCGGTGGCAGAGCTTCGCACAGTTTTTCCGGTGTATAATACTGTTTCAGCTTAAGAGCCGTTTCCCTGTTGTAAATTTGCTTCCACGGAAGCCAGCCTTTGAACATCTCTATGATGACGTAGAACAATGACCATAGGTCATCCCTGCGACTGAGTTCCTAAAGAAAGAAACAAATCAACAACCTCGAAAAACTCTTCACTTTGGCTCCATAACTGACTACTTTACCTTCAGAAATGCTGGGCATTCAATTCAGTGGTTAGGAACAGAACCAAAGGATCGACGTCAAGGGCATTCGAATTAAAACTTAAGCATCGGTCTTCTAATTGTGTCTGTGATGATAGAATCCCTACGATGTATACCAGAAGAAAGTAAAGAAATGTATTTGGTCAAGCATCCCCAAAGGAACACGTGCGGTGACAGGACATGGCGGTGCAGCTTTACACGCATAAATGGCAACTTAAAAGCGAATCCTTAGGTCAGGTTTTGAACCTCCGTGTCTGACAGTTTTTGCCCAGGGTCTGCAGCTGATGATTTTGTGAACTAAGAGGGAAGCGAGTGAAATATCAGGGAAGTTCGACGTCCTCGAAACGCTATTGGATCTTTAATCGGCGTGTATCCGACTGGTGGTGCCAAACGATGTTTGTTCGACGTCTTCGCCATTGCGTTAGCGGCGTTCTCCTCGGCAACAGCGTCTCCGACGGTTTGAACTGCGAAGGGGAGGGGGAATACAGCAAGTGAATAGGCACCATGGTGCCGTGACATGTGCCACAGCGAGGAACAACACGCTGATCGAGACGGCAGTGCCAAAAGTCGCACGAACGATAACATCAGACCGTGTTTATCAAAAAAACTCAGAGGTAGAGAGGAAAGGCGGAAAAGTAACAAAACAAAAGGATAGGGACAAAGAAGAAGAGGTAGTGAGGAAAGCAAAGCTAAAATTAGCACGAAGAACGTGAAAGAATACGAAACAAAACAACGATCATCAGGAAAGCGTGGAGGTGTGTATCAAGCAAGCGATAAAGCAGCAAGTACCTTTTTCTCATGCGAGTTGATCGATGCATAAAACGTACTGCCTCTGAATCCAATCCGGCCCTTGTACGGTTTGTGATTACCGTTCTTGTCCAAGTAACGCTTCGCAACATCAAAATCGGTCAAGAATATGGTACGGAGAGACTTCGGCTCGCTGCCGATATGGAAAACCATCTGAAAGTGTTCGTTGGAAGAGTAGGTGAGTCAACGAGCGAGCGAGTGACTCAGTGACTGAGTGAGAGGCTAATATTTCGGTGACTCACCGGTCTGACGTTGCGATGCACGTAGCCGATGCGGTGCAAGTCCCGGATTGCCTCGACGCACTGAACCGCCACGCGAACGATCGTTTCTTCGGTGAACGAACGCGACTGCATCTGGCGTCTCAGCTGATGAAGGCTTGGTCCACACTGTTTGAAAACCAGGTACTGGAAACAGCTCCAATTGCCGAAGTCGCACAGTCTGAGACCATGGGCACTCCCTGCAACAACAGTAACGTTTCTGTGCATTTAGTTTTGAATTTGCATCGAATCCGAAGAAGGTAAACATTTGCTTCATAGGAATACTGTACCAACGTAGTCATCAAAACAAACGTCATTTCCTCAATCCACCACTCATCCGTGTCTGTCGCATCAATGACCAAAACGGACAGGTTGTTCGGCACGGATTGTTAAACAGATGGCATTGACGGAATGACAGTCGTTCTCCCCGATTCCATTTTGGCGTTTAAGTGAGTGTGCCTAGCCTTATCACTTCCTCCTCAGACTGACTGACTCTGTAAGAGGGAGTCATGAAGCAGGTGGGTTACAGTAACATTGTCACGTGATCAATCACCCACATACGACTGGCAGGATAAATGCTTTACATAATATTACAGCAGGGCCTGAAGTCTTTGGAAACAATGCACGCTGGTAGGCATGTATACCGTGATGGACATGGACACGTGATCATGGTCACTGAACATCTGACGCCTATTGGAAGTCAAACATGTGCGTACTTTCGTAGTACTTTTCCAGAATCTTCGCTTCTGTCTTCAAAAGCTGTCGTTTGTCAGACAACCTGGAAATTCTGATGCAAACGACACGGTTGCGCTTCGTGTCGTAACCGTCGTAGTTGCGGATCGCCTCGTTTCCCGAAGTACTTTTCACCTGAAAATCACAAACACTCAGAACGAAAGCAGCGGCATAAGTTTAAGCTCAAAAACGAAACGATGCCTACCAAAGCCACGAACTTCCACCGGTCGGAAATGCCGTCGCCGCTCACTGGCCAATCAACGTTCGACATGAGTTCTGTGAAGGGTGCAAGCGTTGCTCCACTCGAAGTGAATGCCTCACCAACGGTCATTCTATTGATGGACTTCGTTTCGCTCACCTTCGAATCCATTTTCCTCTGAAATTCAGTCCACCATTCCAAAACTGCAGCACTACTTCCCGATCGATATCAGAGGTAAAATTTATATGAATTAGTTGTATTTCAAAGCCAGAGTCTTCCAAGGATGAGGTGAAGGCTTTTTCTTGACTCACTTCTCTGGCCATGCCTTAGTGATGCCTCAGTTCGAAAAACTTCTTACTTCAGATTCAGAATAATGAACCAGAGTAAGTTTAGGTGGACACGTTGTCCATTATTCCATCTGTTTATGAGATTTAGAATCATTCATCAAAACCCCAGATGTAAAGGCACAAATGACATGATTCTGACATCATGACATCATGTGATGAATTTCTTTAAAAGTCTACATGATTTCTACCGTCAAATGACATCACCATGATGGAGTGAAAACCATGCAAGTCTACGTAGCCCCTTATCCATAACTTAATCCTCATTCTCTGAAGCAATAGTTGTTGCCCACGTTTTTCCTTCAATCACGAATTCGAGCTTTCTTCATTGTTTGAGTCAGGAAATTTGAACCGACAGAGGCCTTGGATTGAGTTGTCTGAGGTATAGCCTGTGCACACGGTGATTTTGTACCTTTTTGTGGACAGAAGAGAGCCATCTCTTGCAAAAGATTGTTCCAAAGCACTTTCAAACACTGAAAGAGAGGTCAGCGGCCATCCAGCATCCACTGAGCTAACTCGCGGTAAGCTTATAATCTTTCCTGCCAATGACCTCTGGAAATCCGGAACAATAAACATGGATTATTTTGCTGAGTTTTTTCGTTCATACATTGTACAGTAGATTTTAAGAAAATACTGCTGTGTTTTTATGTAAGTCCTGATTGCTTAATTTAATTAACTTCTTTTCTCAAATTCATTTACGCCTTCATTATATCTAGCTATTTTAACCTTAATTAAGAAAATTTTAATAAGCACCGGAATTTACGTGATATAGGAGCACACGACAATCTTGTGTATGAATCAAGACAGGTTTAGGCAGGAGGTTTCGTACACTGTGAAAGCTGTATTGAAATAATGAAGAAGTGGAATTTTCTTTCGTCAATGGTTCTCAGACGGTGTCTGGTACAAGAGTTACGTTTTCAGCACTGAGCTCGTTGACCGGGCGCAATATCGGCTGCTGACCTCTACCTATAACGGTAAATGAAGCTGTTTCCTGTGAGTTTTGCCATTTGGCTTAAGAAAAAAATTGCGAAGCTCAGCTGACACCTGTCCCAGGTCGTGTAAGGGATTACTGTATGTCCATACTTGAAGTAAATTTCTATCTTATTCGTGTTATGGATAATTTTGACCTTAAACCTAATGTAAACAAGGTAGTAATCGTAAAGCGGCTTAATGGCAGCAGCTACATAAGCTGCATGGTTTTCAGCAACGTCCATGTGGTCAACCACGTCAGCACTGGCTTGCATTCTACACCGAAGTCTTTGTACTCTAAGACTAATTGCGAAGGTTTGGACAATTATTAATAACACTGGATTTATGCTGCACGTCATTTAGCCATTGCGGTAGCTGCATAACGGAAACTTGAATAATTACCACTAGCGGGTCTTCCGTTGCATAGGTTTACGGTACTTACGGGAAGTGCTGTTAGCTGGCTTACTTGAAGAAGCTGCTATGCAAGCAGCAATGTGGAAAGCTTCATCGAATGGTTCAGTGCTAAAGTGAAATTAACTACGAACCTGCCATAAGGAGACGACCCAATATTGATTGCTTTATTTCTATAGCAACTATATCCATCTGACATCCACTATGGTGATTAAAATGGTCAGAAATCACATTCCAACTCGATTTCATTATAAGAAAGAATATTAAATTGAAGTACATCCCTTCTTTATCCCTGATTTAAATTTTTGCGAAAATAATAATTACCAAACGGCGATTTATTAATATCTGCCGACCACAAGAACTCTGATGGAAAAGTTAAAGGCACCGGTATTTTACTGAAGCTGAAACTTGCCCTGTCTCTAATTTTATCGGTGCAAAGCCATGAAGGCGAAAGCTGGACGATCGGATGGGAGTTTCTAGAAGAATTCAAAACTCAGCGCTTCCATGCAGGAACAAAAGATATATTATCAGTTTATGAAAAACAGTGACGACCACGACGGTGTGAAAGGAACAGTAGTACAGCATTTGACTCCGGAGTTATGAGACTGTATTGACGATACCTTTCGTTGAACACAATTGAGCGTCGTTCATGCCACGAAAGTCAAGGTAGATGTGTAGAATTAATTCAGGATAATACATTATTTCTTATCCTCTCAACAGGCATAATCGGATATGCGGAATTGTTGAGTCAACAACATGATCAAGCAACTTTACCATAACTTTCGCAGCTGCTTCCCAGGTGTCTTCTCTGATTAAAATGTCCAGCTCAATTTTGGATCGACCTTGAACCTCAAATCCTTTTATATTAGTAGCCCGGTAGTACGTGTGTTTGAATCTTCCAAAACTTTGGTCTGTTACTAAACGTCATATAGATTCAGGGCTCTGAACCATGAATCTTTAAGACAAATGCCTATATAATTATGGTTCCAGAATCAAAACCTGAGGTATTAGCTAATAAGCGTTTTAGGCTCATTTGGGCTATTCAATCGCTTGATGGTTTAGAGTTTTATTTGTCGAAAATTCATATAGTACAGCAGTCTCAAATTTTGACCAATCCTGGTAGTCTTCCTCAGCCACATTAACCTTATTTGCGAAGCCATTGTTCTGGATCAGAAGCTGTTAACGTTTAAAGCAATTTGTTACTCTAGTCACGACAGCAGCTATTTTAAACGTTGGTACGATAAGACTCTAATTTGTAAAAGAATCTCTGGCAGGGTTGCTTCTGCTACGTATCATACGCAGCAGAGTGAGATCGCAATTATATTAAAAACTATAACAGGTAGAATCACAAGGACCTGATTTTCGTTTGAGGGAATCCATCCTGAACCGTTTCATTTAATGTTTTCGTTGAGGATTACATTATGAGCAATCTGACGTCAATTTTATCTTCTTGTATGATGTTAGTAATTCCAATGATGTCTTAATCTATTACTTTGCCACCGTCATTAATCCAGTGATATATCGAAGTAGTCGAAGCTTAGCACAAGGTATCAACTAAAAACTTAGTTTTCAATGCAGCTACAATGGTAAATGATTTCTGTGTATTACAGTAATAAAAGTGATTCACAGGTTCCTACCTTCAGACTTCGAAAGTCTTTCCCCTCTTCTGAAAAACTATCCATCAAGCAGGTTGTGAGCTGTTCTGATTGGGCCTCTTCGTACATAGTTCGCTTGTTCATGTCTCTGCTCGTCGTCCTCTCCACCGTGTCTTTATTGTTTTCATACCGTTCGTTTTCCTTTGCCATGCTCTTCGTTGAACCTTGCTGATTTTTGTTTAATTTTTTTGCGGAACCTTCAACACTCTTGATCATTCTCTCTGTGGTAAACATAAACAAGTTACGTAAATCAAATATCGATTAGGCATTGTTTAAAA